GACTATTGTTTCATTAGTAAAATTCTTAGTGATCTTGGGGCAAAATTGATTAACTTCGGCCCTTCCGACCAGAGTTCTGAAGCTTCCGACCCGGAATTCTGGGGATCTCCCTGTAGGAGTTGGCTTCAACGGATCCCCTTATTTGGGAGATCTTCATGGATTAACCAATCAAATCGTGAAATTTTTACGAAAGAAACGAGTGCCTAAACCTGTCTTGGGGCACTAACAAAAATGGCGAGAAGGTGATTTTACTTATAGCTCCTGCCTATTCCATAACTATAACCCTAACTTAACCCTAATATTTAACTGCTTCGCTTTAACACCTTCCAAATAAGGAATTTTGAAAACAAAACCCATATATCGGAGAAACAATTCCGCAGATAATTCTACAGATAACAATTCCACAGACAACAAATAATAGCATCACACAGTACCAGAACAAGATTATTTAGATTACACAAGCAGTGGACCCCAATCAAATATATCAAATAACACTTTAAAAAATTTTTTTCTTGATAAAACTAAGCTAAGAAAACACATGAATCTTTGATCAAATTTGTAGATCGCTGCAAACCACGATAAGCATTCATATGATTTACTCTGAAATTCTTTGGTTCTTGTGTAATAGTTAAATTTAATTGTTTTCAACTTGGACCTTACACGAAACTGATTTTTAGCTGATTCTAGAAACAATTCCTAAATCTAACGTTAATTAGCATTAATTAATACATATTAAGAAAACACATTTGAGAAAGGTTAGTGTAACTCTAAATAAATAGTCACCCCACCCATTCTTATTTGGGATCAATTTTTATAAGCTTTCTCAAAAAATTATAATTTTACAAATTACTTTATATTATTCAAATAAAATTTTATTATTTTTCTAAGAAAATGAAAAATATTTATGGTTGGATAGAAATTATTTCAAACCCTGTTATTTTTGGAGATCAAGACGGACTAGTCGTTCAGCATGTTGACCTGCCCGTAGTAAAAAATGAATTGTCAATAACATTTAGAATAAAACTACAAAGTCATATTTCTGACTGGGCAACCATTTTTCATAAAGGTAAATTAATTCATATTTTATTTAATTATTATACCTGATCTTATTGTCTTATAAATGAAAAACACACTTTAGGCACCGATCGTCTTATCCGTACTCCAGGACTCTGGTTGACAGCAGACAAATCTGCAATGTATCCTCGATTCACAGGCGATTGGAATACAGATGCTGGGTTTACTATGACTGATGAACTTGTATTGCAAAATTGGTATCATATAGCCTATACACTTTCAGACGCTAAAAAAAGGTTAGATGTCTACATAAATGGTGTTTGGTCTGGATTCTTCAGCATCCAAGATGTTAAAAGACAAACCGTTATTTTTAATGATGGGCCACTGTATATCGGAAAATCTCCTTTTCACGGTGGATTTAGTGGCGAAATTAGGTATGTGTTATTATAGTAACGAAATTAATTTAAATAACAAAATTATTAAATAATCATTTTAATTAAATAGTAATTTTCGTTATTTCAACTGGCAATTATCTGCTAATGAAGTGAGTGAAGATTTCGGCGTTGCAGAAAATCTTATTTAAAAATCAATAGCACAAAATTAGTAAATATAATGTTTCAAATTTAAATTATGCTCTGAATAATAAAAACTATTAACAAAAATATAGTCACTAAAAGATCTTTAATAATTAACGTGAATAAAAAAAAACAAAAAATAAAAATAAAAGAAATTAAATAGAAATGAATGAGTAGTACGATTGATTAATGGTACTCACAGATCAAATCAATGTAAAATAACAAGAAATTAAATAAGGAACTCATTAGTTCTAAATTGAAGCTCATTTATGCAATTGTTATCTCTCAATTTGTTCATTTTTGATTTATTATGTCAAGTCTCAGGTCTAATATCATATTTTACTTCTGTTGCATTAATTACAGTACAATACGTTCCAAACAATCAGACCTTTTTCTAACCATCAATTGTATTCACATTATTTCGGTGACTCTTGAATCTAAGCGCAAATAATTTTTATACTTAACAACCAATCAACTTGAATAAAAATTTAAATATTCACGAATCTGGAGAATTTATTTTAAATACAAATTTAGATTAATAGTTTATACATTATATAAAAATATATTTTTTATACTTTATGTTCTCAAAAAAAAATTTTTTTAAAGAGAGCATTTAATTTGATAAATATTTCAAATTAAAAATGGTCTGCAACAAAGTTTCCAGTCAGTATACTATATCTCCGAATGAATCCAACATATTGCATTCTAAAAATATATGGCTTTGAATAAGTTAGATGATATAATCGTATTTAATTTCATGACCAAGCAATTCATCTCAACATAAGACACTTCCTTACATTTATCTCATTTCAAATTTATTCTTGAATTATTATTTGTTCCAAACATTTATACAAAATGATAAAAGCGCAATAGCCTCCGCATAATCTATAGGTCATATTTGAAAAATTGCTAAAAGGTTATATTTGAAAAGTAGGTATTGGGTAAAAAGGTTATATTTGAAAACAGATAATCACTAAATAGGATATATTTGAAATTATGCTAATGGAATAAGTATTATAATCTTATATTTAAAATGTGCTAATAAAAAATATAATATAAGTTTTTTTTTTTATTTGGTAAGCACATGTTTTTTTTTAGAGAACACACTTCTGTTTTTTTTTTTTTTTAGAGAACACACTTCTGATTTTTTTTTTTTAGCTGTTTTTTTTTTTTTTTTTTTTAGAGCACACTTATATTTTAAAAAAAGGCAATGAAGACTAAAATTCTTATCTAATATTTGAAATATAGATTATATATATCACTATAAAAGTGCTAACAAAAAAAAAATACTATGATGCCCAAATATAAAGCTCATATAGATTATGCGGGGGCCTGGCGCAATATTGTTAGCTTACATGCTATTAAACGCAACCGTCTGTCCTTAATTTTACTAAAATCAAGCTTGTAACGATTATCTTTCAAGACAAGAAATTATGGTTCTACTATTAATATTAGTGATTTAGTCTTTGCTATCAAGTTCGATTACATTATTACGAGTATTTGCACGTTATTGCAAAAAGCGTTGTACTTTAATGAATTTAAATTATAAAACAAATATGACATTAAAAAGATTAATTACAAAATCGGTAGGGTATAGCTTAAAGACGACTCAAACTATGCGACAATTAGTATCATAAGTATTGACTAAATCCCTAAAAAATCCGCAATTACCCAGCCACATAATTAGTGAGTCAATTAACTGACCTCATGTATACATAATTTGCAGTATTAGAGTTTTGAATCATTAGTTATTAAATTATAGTGAGTTTGATAGTTTGAAGTGAGTTAGATACAATTTTATTATAGATAGGCCTAAAAATATTCTGAAGATTTAATTTTATCAAAAACAGTAAATTTGATGACTTAAATATCAAATTTTGCGTCAACAATTGTAAATGAGAATTATTCATTACTATTGAGCTAAATTTTAATTATTGTATAAAATATCCGGAATCGATTACGCTAAAAAAAAACTTCAGGTCTCCACTTTTAGTCATAGCTATTAAGATTATTTTACCAAATCATACTGGAGGCATAAAGTGCAAGTCTTGATATAATAATAATTATTATTATTCTTGTACGTACGTACAAGTAGTAATTTATTGTTATTTAATTTAATTTTTAAAACGTAGGTTTGATTATCATGTGCATACGTCATGTAACGTATTATAAATCATAATATCATATAATATCATATACTCATCAATTCAAAAACTATTTTCACTTGCCTCTCTCATGGCGTCAAAAATATTTAGAGGTGATATGCCCGAATTAATGGAAAAAATTCTTGATAATTTAGACGAACAAATATGCACACTATATTCCTGTGCACGTGTGAGCCGGTATTGGTGCATGATGTCAATTCCTATCATTTGGAGAAATCCGTCGAAATCCAATGTTTATATTTAGTTACTTTCCATCCCTCAACGAATATGACAGATTTATTTTAAACGAATGTGAAATAGATATAGACTTTTCAAATACTCTATTTAATTACGCAAGTTTATTAAAGGTTCTCGATTTGTCTTTTTTAGACTTTAAGGTTAAAGAATGGATTGATGATTTTCTACAAGTAGATGTTGATTTAGTAACTTATCGTATGGTGGCAAATTTATTACTTAAATTATTTATCGAGAGCGGAACTACTTTATTTAAATTGGATTTATGCATGTCTAATAATATTATTGGCGTTAAACCAGAAATATTTTACATATTGGGTCAAAACAAGTGGTTTTTCTTACAACTTCAAGATTTATCTGTGAGTATAGAATCTAGATCATGCATCGAAAATGCTACAGCATTATTAAGAGTCTTGACAACCCATGCCACAAAAATTAGCACTTTAACATTCGAAGCACATGTATATGATCCAATCTTATATTATACATTTGCATGTGTCATTAAATCACAAGAACAACTTAGGCATTTGCCTTGTACGGAAATGATTTAAGGCTAAAGTATTATAACATTATTTCAGCCTTACAATATCAAAAAGATTCATTAAGAGAAATTAGCTTATTTGGTTGTGTATGTAATGCAGATTTTGAGGTGCTAATGAATTGTGAAAACTTGGAAATAATCCGTATCTCTTATTGTAGAGAAGAAGAGAAATTATGGAAAATATTAGGCACTAATCTTCATAAGATCAGCACTCTAGAAATATATTCTGAGTTGATCGATGCATTGAATCTAATACAAATTTTAAAAAAGTCAGGCTCATCATTACAACAGCTAAAACTTTATTCAGAGAAAGAAGAAATTTATTCACTACCATTGTTAGTAGAAACACTTGCGGCTTTCTGTCCAAATATTATATATCTTTACATTTCAAAATTTAAATTTTCTGCACAATTTCTGGAACTTATTAGCAGCTTACGAAAGCTTCAATTTCTCAGCTTACAGTGGATAAATGATGAATCAAAAGAAATGATGAAAGCATGGATCATGCAATTTGCTAAAATATTGCCATTAACATTGCAATATCTTGATTGGGGAGATCATTTGAATTCTCATATCGATATTCTGCTCAATAACTGTAATGCACCTTTAAAAAAATTATTATTTAATATTAATTGCAGTGATAAGAAAATAATTGAAGCATTAATCGGATTTTGTATACGAAAAAAGACTTTGAAGGATTTACATATATATAATGAATCTAGAAATTTACGCATTAACTGGCAAAAGGTTAGGAAGGAGTTAAATGGATATGTTAAATTAGTATCGTATCAACATATTTATGTTGATTGCTAATTAATATTATCTGAGGTAAAATATATACTTTCTTTTATAATTAAAATTTTCACAAGATAAACATTAAACTATCACGATTCTTTTATGATTAATTTTTAGGTAGCAAGTTAGCTTATTGATATAGTTAACTGGGGTAAAATCGCCACCCAAAAAAATTTCACTGGCCAATCGAATTTCAAGATCATGTGAAACGTAGCACGATCAGGAAAATTCAAAACAACGTTCGTTTTGTCAAAAATCGCCTATAACTCAAAAATGAGTCTATGAAAGAGCCTTCTGCGCATTAGTAAAAAATTTTCCTTGCAAAATTTTGATATAATAAAGCACTCTAAACCCTAACCTAGAAGCAACACCCTAACCCTAATCTAACAAACCAAAATTTTATTTCGAAATATAGTTTGAAATTTTTTTGGGTGGCGATTCTATTCTAATTATATAGTTTATCTGATTGTCAAATGTATTATGTATTAGAACGTTAACAAATTTAGTGATTTATGGTGTTTATAATACTTTCACATGTTTGATCAGGACTAATGGGTTTTGCCTGATTATTGTCAATTTTAATTCTATTGTTCCTCATTACTTACCGTAATGGCGCGTAATAACGCGCAGATGCGTGTTATTTCGGGACGCGCATGCGCGATATTCCGAATCATTTTGACAAATTTGGGTCAGCCAATTCTGTATATGATCTACTTATATAAGGGGGCGCTTATTTCGGGACGCGCATGTGCGTTATTTCGAGTCAAAAATGCAATTTTCAAAAAAAGGCGTGTTTCGAAATAACGCGCATTTGCGTTATTACGCGCCATTACGGTACGAACTTTAATCGAGATTCAATAAGCGTGATTAGAATTTATTCAATTGACTGGCTGGTCTAAAAAAATCATGTAAATCGGTTTATAAATAAACCCTATGTCCAGTAAGCAAATGTAAAGAAGTAATAGCTAACAAAAAAATTCTATTGACGATAAAATAAGTAGATATTTTTATGAATAAACTCTACAATCAAATTCTGGCAGTAGTTTAACACGTTAATGAAGAATCCTTTACCGACACATAATATCTCCATTTATTCCGTGTATTAGTCTATTCGGTAGCATATTTGCATTTAAATTTAATAATTGCATAAAAATAGCCTATAGTTAAAAGATTATCACGAAGTTTAAAATGTAAAAAATGTACACATGACAATTAAGGATGACAAGAAAAAATAATGATATTACAATTATACAATTGCATAAACGGATGAGTA